GAGGGAGCCACAAGCGCCGAGCGTATCAGTGCCGGTGAAAACTCTTAAGCACAGGTGTCAAACTGAAGGCCCCGCGGGGCAGATCTGGCCGGCTACATCATTTTATGTGGCCCGCAAAAGCAAATCAAACACGTGAACTTCCATGATGCTTGCTAAAATGTCGACCAAAATATAAAATTCTCAAATCTAATAAATATGAGAGATTTTATAAGCATTTTCTTGTTACCAATCCGCTCATTAGAGTAACTTGAACAGTCGCCTCGGCAGACTCACCTGCTCACATATGGAGCGGTAGCCGCTCTCCCGCCGGCGGTCCAGCTCGTACGTCTCGCCCAGCAGCGGGTTGAAGGGCTTGCTCGTGCGGTGGACGGTGGTGGAGTAGGACGACACAGAGAAGGCAGCCACGTAGCACATCTGCTCCAGCGAGCTGTGGCACTTGGTCGCCTTGTCCAGCAGCTCATGGTACTCCAGGTCCTCGGACAGACGCTGCAGCATGGAAATGGGCTCATTGAAGTTCACCTATAGGATCAAAAGGCGGATCATGAAAATGAGGAGGGGGATATTTCCAGTCACATACATGTGTATAAAAATATACAGCAGATTGAGATCCTGGCCACTCACAGGCATGGGAATCTTGGAGAGCTCTTTGCCGATGCAGTTTTTCATGATGCTCCACAAGTTGAGTGAGTAGTTGGGCTTGTCCGGGATGCGCGTGCGCCGCTTCTTCAGTGGCAACAACTCCTGCGAGGGTGACTCCTGGTTCATGGCAAGGGGCTCCTCGTTCAGCTGAAAAGGCAGAAAACATTTGAGCAGGAATCAAATGGTCACTTCATAAAAATAACACTCTTTATAGTTGGAGACTAAGTGTCGTCATCAAAAGGTCAAGAATAAAGAAGCCACTCGATGACTTCTTCAAGAGAGAAAAAAAAAGACAACACAAGTTAAAACCTAGTCATAGTAACCGAAATAAAATAATTTTACAATAAAAAGTTGTAATAATTTGAAAAAGAGAAAGGGGAAACTTGTAATGTGATATGAATAAATGTGTAATTTTACACGAGAAGAATGTAATGTAGTACGCATCAATAAAAACCTGCTAACATTAACAATTGCAGTTAAGAGGACAAAGTTGTATTTTTGCAAGGTAAAAAAAGTTATTCTATGACAAAAAAGTCAATTATGAGTAAAAATGTGTCATTTTACGAAGATAAAACTTGTAATATTTCACAAGGTCAGAATAATAAGAAAAACTCTGAGAATAATGCCACCATTTAATGAGATGAAACTAATGAGTATGATGTCCTCATTTTATGCCAGGAAATTTTATAAAAGGAATAATGACGACAAGAACCTAATAAAGTTGCAATTTCAAATGATAAAATATCTACACGACACAGAATTAAGTCTGAGTAAAAATATGTCATGTTATGAGAATAACGATCAAACTATGCAACTCTGGTCAGACTCCGTTAGTTGAAGCGCCGCAATTGAAAAAAGTCACTTACTGACTGATCATCCGAACACATTTCACTATTGAAACC